ATGATAATAAATTTTGGATGTACTACTTTGGTATTAATATTATCATTATAAGTAAGCTCATATAATAGATGTTAATAATATTAATAACATTACAATACCTTATAACCTTATATATATATACTTATATAATATAACTCTAATACTCAAACGGGTTAAACCTAACCTACACTCAGTATAATTAATGTTATGATGTTTATATATTATATATTATATATATATATAAGTATACCCTATAAATTGGCAGGTAACTTATACATATATATATATATACCATTTATATAGGTTAGTTAATAACCGTTAATCTCGTGTAGATTTTATAAGAGTTTGATTATTTTATCGATATCAATAAGGTATTTATGTGACAGAATTTTATAACGTTTAATCATATAGTGATGATTCATATCTAGTGAGTTTTTAAATATTTATGAGCTCATTAAACCTATTTTATAATCACTTAAACCTAACCTTATACGTATATATATAACCGTAATACTCGGAACGCTAACAACGTAACCTAATCTTAATATTAGTTATAATACATCATTCATATATCCCCCAATATTAGTAGCAGGTATACTGTAACTCATATAATTATCGTTAGGATTAGGTGATTTACGATTTCAAAGTTGGAGGTTGTATATTACAGTATAAAAATTGAATAATATTATTGGAGTATCTCCTAGTATTTGGTTGTGTTGGATGTGTTGTGGTGAGTTGGTATTGATAGCTATACTAATTACTACTAACCTTAGTATATATACCTACCATATATATTATAGATATCTTATCACAGCATAAAACCCTATTAACGCTAAACGTAAAAGCCGATATTAATATATACTACTAACTACACGTCTGTAATTATATTTAGTACCAACTCTTTATATAGAAGTGTACTTTAGTAAATACGCTATATCATATCGATGTGATTAATATAGAAGATCGTAAATTATATTTATACAGTAATTACATAAAGTTTAAATGTGTAGACATAGACACGAATTTGGGAGTCTCTACATATGAGTTATATTTAATAATATTACTGAAGGCCTAACCTTAATATATATATAGATATAATATAATATTATATATAATAACCTGAATAATCGCTCAATATATATACCTAAAAATACTATCAATACTGGATATACCTAATAACCTAAAACCTGTACAGTACAATATATGACAATGGGGCATATATTATATATAATAGCGTATCATATCATATATGATATATATCATACCATAATTGCAGCGTTAACTTTTAGTTTACGGCTATCGTGGATTAGAAAGTGATGAGATCAAGGGTTTATGTGAGAAATATCAAAATTTGGTAATCGTCTTATCGCTGGTTTATAATTTATAGGAGCTATATAACTATAACTTAACCTAAAACCTAACTAACCTAACCAACGTAACCTAACCTTAACTCCCAAATTGCAGTACTTTATTAGGTATAACCCTATTATGGTGGATTATAGAGATGAATCATACTATAACGAATCAACACACGCTCATTGTTTTAATGTGGGATGGTCATAATTATTCACATATATATCCGAACATTTAATTTGCATGATAGTTCTTTATGGTGCTTGGTTGAGAAATATAATTATAATTTGAGTCACTAATTCAGAACTAACCTAACTTAACCTAACCTAAAAATAACTTAACCTATAGCTGTAATTTATAACCTTATAATCCTATATATAGTATATACTATAATATATAATATATCTAAATGGGGTATATATATCCTAAAATATTGTCACTAAGGTTACTGTAACCTATCGTGGATTGTACAGTAATATAGAATGATATATTACGATCATGTTTATATATTATATAGTGAGAAAACGAAAAATTATTATTGTAGTAGTCTCATACTGAGTTTAAATTATTATTTACGAGCTTCTAACTCATTATATAATAAACATAAGAACTACTATATACTGTACATTATATACTACTAACCTAAGTAAATATGTATATATATACCTACAACCACGTTAACCTATCATATATATCTACTTACACACTATTACTAGGGTCATATAAATTTTGCAGGTTGGGCAATACTCGATACTATTATATAATATTATATAAGTACTATGTGGATAAGATGTATCTGAATATATACGATATCAGTTATTAATGTGATGTAAAACGAAATTTTATGGAGTTCTCCTGGTTAAATTTGATGCACCATACTAACTAACCTACGACCTAGTACAACCATAAAAAATTAATCTATTCACTTCACATAAACTAGTAACCTAACTTTTAAACTCATCCTAAAGATTTGCTTAGGTACTGTACCTATCGTAGCTTTATTAGTAATACGTGATATGTATCACGTAATCAAGTTTATGTGAGAAAGACGAATTTGGAGTCTCCCTGGTTAAATTTGGAGCCTAACCTAACCTAACGTAACCTAACTACACGCTAACAAAACGTAATCCTAACCTATCACTCTATTGTTTACCCAATATTGGCAGTT